CTCAGCGATGGTTCATTGCTACTTCTGTTTATCGTAAAACAGACGTTAAGTATGTGCTAGGAAACTAATCATGCTGTACTACAGACAACCGACAGATGACGTGGCCATACAAATCGCTGAACTGATCATCCGCGAGTGTGTGTTGCCTTTTTTACATAATCTTTATTGTTCAGTTTCACTTTCGAACCTCTCGCTCAGCTAGTTCTGGTTTATACTGACTGTTGGAAATGTTAACATATGGAATTGGCTTTAAAATAAGACTTGATCTCTCTAAGTAGTTTAATTACTAGGCAAACGAGATCGGGCTGCCATCAGTGCCTTACGATCTTGGCAAACTGCTCCACGGTGTAGCGGCTGCTCCAAGTATCAATCAGTCGTGCGAAGCAAAGCAGAAAGGGAATTTGCAAGTACTAACCTCTAATAATTGATATTCCACGTACGTCGAATATAGCATGTGGGTAACACGAGCTTTTGTTGTCCTTTGCACATAATAAATAGATGAATAAGGAAGGCATCGATGTGCTTGAGCCATTCTATGACAGGATTTTCCTTTAAGCTGCATTTCTACTTTTACATTGGTACACGTCGACTAAAAGGCTGCGATTAATTTTCGACAGGTACTATATCATTCACATTCAGAGAGGCAAAATGTAACTCATATGCAGATTTCAATTTTCACCCGTAATTATGACATCTCAATTCCTGATATCATATTTCCTCAGAGTAAAAGCACCGTCCGTTTGCCTAGAGTCGTTTACAGATCATTTAGCATGTGAACACCTGCAGTGAATTGGATTCAGGACCACATCATTAAGTTAGGTTGAACTGGGGCGCGTTGCCACATATTTGACCCGTTGCCAAATACGTAGGCGGCTAAGAGCATCGGAGTGATGCGCTAACGCCGAGTAACCATGGAATCAGAAACTTAGATGTAACATTTAAAAGCATTAGGTTAATGCTGCTTTCACTTAGTCCAAAAGAATAGTTTTTTCATTTTAGTAGTTTCTCAGAAGAGGCAATTGAATAAGCAGAGCATTAGTGTCTGGTTTCAGTCCAGGTTTCGGTAATTAATCCTGCAATGAGAGTGTAAAATCTTGGAATGGCTTGCTACTCATATCATTTTTCATACGACCTCAGCAGATTCATTACTAGTTGGAAAGATTGACCTACGGCGTCACATGGCAAAATGAAATACAGCAGCATGCATCCTCCTGCGCCACCATAGTAGTCATGGGAACCTAACGTGCGCCCTGAGAAAAACCTTCGAACTACGCTATTGTAATGAAGTCTTATGCAGCTGTACCGAGAAGAACGACATACGACGAAAACCAGGTGCTGTAAGATTGAGAGCTTCAGTGCATGCCAACCTCCAAACAAAGCATGGATAAATAAATGCGACATTACATACGGATCACTGGCTTCTGGTAATCGTTTCTGATTAGCGCGAGGTGGTTCCAGCGGACAATATGGTGCGAGATGCATCACGAGAGCTGGCGGATAGGAGTACACAGTTAGTTTAACTGGATCAACCTCATTTCCTTAAGCTCTACATCTGCTGAAGTCATCGGTGTCTCGAAGAGAATAAA